TGCCCCAGAAATTCTAGCGAGATGTTGCATCAGTACATGACGAAAGCGAAAAAAATTTACATGAAAGAATCGTCTGAAGTTCTCTTTATTTCACATTCCTTAATGGGAATCATTATTTGGTAATGTATTATTACAACTATATTCAGTGACTTACAGCTGACAATGTTTATCTTGGTTATTAGACTGTATTGCTCATCAGCCGATAATTCATGCAATTGCGAAGCGTCACTCAGAGCGTTCATAGAAAATAGAATTTCTACCCAGTACATTCTCATATCAACCAACGTTCATTTAATCATTAAGAAATAATTAATTTATTATCAAATAAGGCAATTTATTCTCTAAAGTTTCTGATACGCCATAGTTCCATCAACTCGCGATATTAAATAAAGTGTAGAAATATTCAATGCGTCGTAGCATCTGCGCATGTGCGAGCGATCCCGAGGAGGGGAGAGGAAGGCAAGCGACGCCATAGTCAACGAGGAAAGTGTCTGGTAGCTGAATTACCATTTTCGTAAAGAAACAGCCGTGCACCTGCGGACGTTAGCAAGGGGTGGCAGCTTCATAATGTCTCATACACCTTGTGTGGGAACCGACCTGAGAGATTTATATGCATTTGATTTATATAGAATTTATATTTACGTTAATTTATATATTTCGATAGCAACTGGTATAAGTGGATTGTATTTCTGCAATATTTCTCACAAATCTATCCTTACACATTAGTGGGGGTTTATATTAAATTTATATAGAATAATTTTTAAATTCTAAATTTTGAAAGAATAATCAAAACGGGCAAAAGGTTGGCAGGAAATGACAATTTGATAGAAGAAGAGGGGAAGAACAATGAAACACGAGGAAAAGGAAAAGGGGTCTGGCAAAATTGGTAAAGGCAGCAGCAGGAGTATAAGGCTGCAAAAGGACAGAGGACTGACCCATGGAGCATCACACTCCGGCAGCTGCCCACCAAGCCTCCTCACGGTGGCAATGGGCCAGACAGTGAGGGGGTACTTTATTAAAATAACTTCGTTCGTTCGAAAAATAGCCGAAGGAATCTGTCATCACTTTACTAACATTATGCTTCGTGGAGTAAAGAAAAAAAAATAGTCAAAGGTAATTTCTTCATAATATTTCTAAACTAAAGTTACTCTGAGACAGCTTCAGTGTCAAATAATACTCCCATGCCCTCTTTCAGCCCATCCTCCAAACAAAGATCCAAAAGTGATTCCATCCACCCACCAAACCCCCTGTTAATGAATGAAAAGCGGTTTACACACGACTCACAACTGCTGACGTTCGAACATATCCGGAACAAGTGCTTCACTGACGATTTTTGTTCGAATCACAACGCTGTAAATGCTTCACCCACGTACTACAAATACAAATAATCGCCAACAGAACCTAAACACCTATCCTATGCCTATTTATACACAATATGCTAATATATTATAATAATTTATACTTGAGAAAATTCCCGGTTTGAATGAACAGCATGTTAAAATATATGAATGCGTCTGTGGGGTTGACCGCTGCATGTAATGGACTCTAGTCGAGGACGGGTTGCCTCTTTATGCAAGAAGGATACACTCAAAAACATGATCTTAAATGCTCCATCTTTATTAAATTTCCCTCGAAATGAACAAACATCTTTATGTCATAATTTCTTACAAAAATGCATAAACACCATCTTTAACAAATACCTTAAAATGAGTAAATACCCTTTTCAAAATCCAGATAGAAAAAAAAATCTTCTGGAACAATGGAGGGAACTTTGACAAGCCGCTAGTTTTCTGTCCCCATCGAGGCCACTAGGACGATAGTGCCCCACCGACTAAATTCAAGAAAAAAAAAAAAAAAAAAAAGAGGTTATCTTGAGGTTATCTTGAGATGATTTCGGGGCTTTAGTGTCCCCGCGGCCCGGTCCTCGACCAGGCCTCCACCCCCAGGAAACAGCCCGTGACAGCTGACTAACTCCCAGGTACCTATTTACTGCTAGGTAACAGGGGCATTCAGGGTGAACGAAACTTTGCCCATTTGTTTCTGCCTCGTGCGGGAATCGAACCCGCGCCACAGAATTACGAGTCCTGAGCGCTATCCACCAGGCTACGAGGCCCCCTACGAGGTTACAAATCAAATATTATAGTTATACCTCCCATGACTGAGAACGTGAAGCTAAGAAGAGCACCAGAAGCGACCACTCTCATACAAGTTTGCGAGTGTAATTGCAAGTATTTGTACAATTTCGCAAAGAATTTGTATGTTGAATAGACATATGTAAAAGTTCAGGAAGTGTATGCGCAAATAATTTTATGAAAATTTGTGCAAATTGTATAAGAGTTTGAATAACTGTGTGGAAGTTTCTACAAGTTTCGTATATAAGGAGGAGTTTGTGTAGTGAAATGAACATTTGCACGCAAGTCTGTTCATTTGTGTATCTCTGCAAGTTTATGCTAGTTTGTGAATATGTAAGTGACATTTTGTGTACGGATTTATGCAATTTATGTAAAACTGTCATGGACATTTTATGCAAGTATATCTTGAGGTTATCTTGAGATGATTTCGGGGCTTTAGTGTCCCCGCGGCCCGGTCCTCGACCAGGCCTCCACCGCCAGGAAGCAGCCCGTGACAGCTGACTAACACCCAGGTACCTATTTTACTGCTAGGTAACAGGGGCATAGGGTGAAAGAAACTCTGCCCATTGTTTCTCGCCGGCGCCCGGGATCGAACCCGGGACCACAGGATCACAAGTCCAGCGTGCTGTCCGCTCGGCCGACCGGCTCCCGTAATACATGTAAATGCAAGATGAAAGTACAGTTTTGTAATGGTAACTGTTGAGGCTTGCCTTGGGAAGTAAAAGACGAATTAATGTTTCGGAAAATAAAATGATTTAAATAAGTTACGTAAGTTTAAGTTGATAAGTTACGCAAGAAGTTACGTCAGGCAAGTTAGGTTATGAAAGCTACCTCAGGTAGGTTAGGTATGAGAAGTTACATCGTGTAAGTTACGTTAAATTACATAAGATCAGAGGATAGGCAAAGTACACTGAATAATGTAAAGTTGTACAGAGAACATTTAAGAACATTCCGAGACCGTGTAAGAACGTCAGAACATTCCGAAAGCAAGAATAATGTGTAACAAGTTTTACAGACAACATCCTGCGCAAATGTTAAGGACATCGAGAGAACACACAAATATGGAACGAACATTTCAAGTCCGGGGCGGGGTGGGACTGCTCGGATTTATGAAGGAAAAATCGGTTTACACGCGACTCTACCAATTGCATTTGAACACTTTCGGAACAAGTACTTCACCGACAAATTTTGTTCGAACCAGAACGCTGTAAATGTTTCACCCACGCACTACAAATAATCGCCAGCAGAACCTAAACACCTAACCTATGCCTATAAATGCACAATATGCTATTATAATAATTTATATTTGAGAAAATTCCCGTTTTGAATGCACAGCATGTAAAAATTTATGAATGTGTCTGAGATCGACTGGACTGTGGACGGGTTTGTGATAACCCCCCCCCCTTTATCTACACAAACTTACCAATAGAGCCCAAACCATTTATTTAAAAACGTAATAAAAATATAATTAAAATGTAATATACTATTTGATATTAAACACTTTGAATGGCTGAAATTTATGAGTAGATCTTTGGGGTCTCATCTCTGAGGAGACCTGCTCGAGGGAGGGTTTAGTACAAGAAACTTCTGTTCTCTTCACACAGGTGGTGGTCCACATACGACTTCCGGTTCCCGTCAACAGGTCCGAGAACTTTCCCTTCTCACGTGTCACAGGACCATGCCCGCTCCTCTTCCCTGGAACACCACCCGCAAATCTCCTTACAACCGGGTTCTCATTGACTGCCGAGTGAACAGGGGCGACCAGTTACGGTTTGGCGCCCGCTGAATCTTCCCTCGTGAGGGCTAATCCAGAGCAAGTGAGTGGCCAGGTGCGGGGCGAGCACTGCTACCCTCCTGCAGTGTTCTCCCGTTCAAAAATATGTGGACTAGGGGTTCAATGTCGCCAATTAGTTCAGGTCCATTATCACCCAGTAAAAATCTGCTATCAGAACTATAAATTCTGTCTTCAGACAACACACAGCCCCCCTCTATTTAAGTCCCTTAACATGTTAAACACACACATACAATAACCTTGTTCCTAAATTCTAATCTTTATCCGAAAATTCCTTGATAGATGCAACAGAACCCCCATGAGCACCACACCAAAAAGTAGTATCTGATATCCCCAGTCAAACATAAAACACTCCATGCAAAGAATCTATCCAGTCTATGTAATTCTCTCCTCAATGTCTTAACAAAATTATCAAATCAACGAGTTTAGACAAAAAGTAAAACTAAAAAGTACCTAAATACATCCTCAGTTTCCTACCTTTTGATTCAAACTCTCTATCTTTTAGTACTCACGTCCCTAATATTAGTACTCAAGACATGCAACTTCAGTGTAATCACTTTATATTATGGTAATTTTGTAGCAAAATTTGAGTTAATGTAATTATGGTGAACTCAAATACTAAAATGTACATATTAATACTTTCACTTTGATTAAGGACCTGTCCTCTTACGCTTAGTGTGTTTGTGGCTTTACAAGAATATAAAAACCAACGTTATGTATCGGCCCAACCACTTGGGGTGGACGGTAGAGCGACGGCCTCATTTCATGCTGGTCGCCGTTCAATCCCCGACAGTCCAAGTGGTTGGGCACTATTCCTCATCCCCGTCCCATCCTAAATCCCTATCCTGTCCCCTTCCAAGTGTTATATAGTCGTAATGGCTTAACACTTTCCCCTGACAGTGCCTTTCCTAATCCAATACATCTTCTATAAAAAGAAAGAAACCGTTCAGTGGCTGTACTGACGAATATTTAGTTCTTGTTCATGAAGACGCTGTGATATTTTAACTCAAACAATACAACTGCACTCGCCCTAGCAGTCCACAACCCGTTGGTTCCACAACACAGTTAATACGTACATACTGGTAAGTCCGGGAGTCCCCGTCAGAACCTCCACTAGGCCGGCGTGTCCCCAGCGCTCTGCCTGGCTTTGCGCGGCCCAGCCTTCACGTAACCTTGCTAAGCTCACCCGCTAGTCTATTCTTGCAGTCTTCATAACAATAGCCAGGCACCAGAACGAGTCTAGGCTGGGTAACTGCTCGCTGTGGCTCGTTATCCACTGATACTGATGTAATTCATAACATTACCTCCATCACCTAGACTCTACAGATGTATAACGTCACGTACATGTGATAATAATATATAACAAAATACAGATTAAATTGTAATACGTATAGTGATGATAACATCACCTGTTGACATGTTTTAAGATATTGGCTCAGTGTCGCCGGCACCTTAGTCTACCTCTGCCCGTCAGGTGGGGGTGAGCTAGGAGGGTGTGAAGCACTACCCCGTCACGTGGTGGTGTTGGTGCTACTTGTGCTGCTCTTGCTGCTCTTGCTACTGGTGCTGCTGCTGTTGGTGCTGCTACTGATGCTGCTGTTGCTACTGGTGCTGTTACGTGTGTTACTACTGGTGCTGTTACTTGTGTTACTACTGGTGCTGCTGTTGGTGGTGCTGCTGCTGTTGGTGCAGTTGCCGGTGCTGCTGGTGTTGCTGCTGGTGCGACTGTTGCTGCTGCTGGTGCGGCTGTTGCTGCTGCTGTTGCTGCTGCTGGTGCGGCTGTTGCTGCTGCTGGTGCGCCTGCTGGTGCGGCTGTTGCTGCAGCTGTTGTTGCTGCTGGTGCGGCTGCTGGTGCGGCTGTTGCTGCTGCTGTTGCTGCTGCTGGTGCGGCTGTTGCTGCTGCTGTTGCTGCTGCTGGTGCTGCTGTTGCTGCTGCTGTTGCTGCTGCTGGTGCGCCTGTTGCTGCTGCTGTTGCTGCTGCTGGTGCGGCTGTTGCTGCTGCTGGTGCGGCTGTTGCTGCTGCTGGTGCGGCTGGTGCGGCTGTTGCTGCTGCTGGTGCGGCTGTTGCTGCTGCTGGTGCTGCTGCTGGTGCGGCTGTTGCTGCTGGTGCGGCTGGTGCGGCTGTTGCTGCTGGTGCGGCTGTTGCTGCTGGTGCAGCTGGTGCGGCTGGTGCGGCTGTTGCTGCTGGTGCGGCTGTTGCTGCTGGTGCGGCTGTTGCTGCTAGTGCGGCTGGTGCGGCTGTTGTTGCTGCTGGTGCTGCTGGTGCGGCTGTTGCTGTTGGTGCGGCTGTTGCTGCTGATGCGGCTGTTGCTGCTGTTGCTGCTGGTGCGGCTGTTGCTGCTGCTGGTGCGGCTGTAGCTGCTGCTGGTGCGGCTGTTGCTGCTGCTGGTGCGGCTGTTGCTGCTGCTGGTGCGGCTGTTGCTGCTGCTGGTGCGGCTGTTGCTGCTGCTGGTGCGGCTGTTGCTGCTGGTGCTGCTGGTGCGGCTGTTGCTGCTGGTGCGGCTGCTGGTGCGGCTGTTGCTACTGCTGGTGCTGCTGGTGCTGCTGCTGGTGCGGCTGTTGCTGCTGGTGCGGCTGTTGCTGCTGGTGCGGCTGTTGCTGCTGGTGCTGCTGCTGGTGCGGCTGTTGCTGCTGGTGCGGCTGTTGCTGGTGCTGCTGCTGGTGCGGCTGTTGCTGCTGGTGCTGCTGTTGCTGCTGGTGCGGCTGTTGCTGCTGCTGGTGCGGCTGCTGGTGCGGCTGTTGCTGCTGGTGCGGCTGCTGGTGCGGCTGTTGCTGCTGCTGGTGCGGCTGTTGCTGCTGGTGCGGCTGTTGCTGCTGGTGCTGCTGTTGCTGCTGGTGCGGCTGTTGCTGCTGGTGCGGCTGTTGTTGCTGCTGGTGCGGCTGCTGCTGCTGGTGCGGCTGTTGCTGCTGGTGCTGCTGCTGGTGCGGCTGTTGCTGCTGGTGCGGCTGGTGCTGCTGGTGCGGCTGCTGGTGCGGCTGGTGCTGCTGGTGCGGCTGTTGCTGCTGGTGCGGCTGCTGGTGCTGCTGTTGCTGCTGGTGCGGCTGTTGCTGCTGCTGGTGCTGCTGTTGCTGCTGGTGCGGCTGCTGGTGCTGCTGTTGCTGCTGGTGCGGCTGCTGGTGCTGCTGTTGCTGCTGGTGCTGCTGTTGCTGCTGGTGCGGCTGTTGCTGGTGCTGGTGCGGCTGTTGCTGGTGCTGGTGCGGCTGTTGCTGCTGGTGGTGCGGCTGTTGCTGCTGGTGCGGCTGTTGCTGCTGGTGCGGCTGTTGCTGCTGGTGCGGCTGTTGCTGGTGCGGCTGTTGCTGGTGCTGGTGCGGCTGTTGCTGGTGCTGGTGCGGCTGTTGCTGGTGCTGGTGCGGCTGTTGCTGGTGCTGGTGCGGCTGTTGCTGCTGCTGGTGCGGCTGTTGCTGCTGTTGCTGCTGGTGCGGCTGTTGCTGCTGGTGCGGCTGTTGCTGCTGGTGCGGCTGTTGCTGCTGCTGGTGCGGCTGTTGCTGGTGCTGGTGCGGCTGTTGCTGCTGCTGGTGCGGCTGTTGCTGCTGCTGGTGCTGGTGCGGCTGTTGCTGCTGTTGCTGCTGCTGGTGCGGCTGGTGCTGCTGGTGCGGCTGTTGCTGCTGCTGGTGCGGCTGTTGTTGCTGCTGGTGCGGCTGCTGGTGCGGCTGTTGCTGCTGGTGCGGCTGTTGCTGCTGCTGGTGCTGCTGTTGCTGCTGCTGGTGCGGCTGTTGCTGCTGGTGCGGCTGCTGGTGCGGCTGTTGCTGCTGGTGCGGCTGTTGCTGCTGTTGCTGCTGGTGCTGCTGCTGGTGCGGCTGTTGCTGCTGGTGCGGCTGTTGCTGCTGTTGCTGCTGGTGCGGCTGTTGCTGCTGTTGCTGCTGGTGCTGCTGGTGCGGCTGTTGCTGCTGGTGCGGCTGTTGCTGCTGTTGCTGCTGCTGCGGCTGTTGCTGCTGGTGCGGCTGTTGCTGCTGGTGCTGCTGGTGCTGCTGCTGGTGCGGCTGCTGGTGCGGCTGTTGCTGCTGGTGCGGCTGTTGCTGCTGCTGGTGCGGCTGTTGCTGCTGGTGCGGCTGTTGCTGCTGGTGCGGCTGTTGCTGCTGCTGGTGCGGCTGCTGGTGCGGCTGTTGCTGCTGCTGGTGCGGCTGGTGCGGCTGTTGCTGCTGCTGGTGCGCCTGTTGCTGCTGCTGGTGCGGCTGTTGCTGCTGGTGCGGCTGGTGCGGCTGTTGCTGCTGGTGCGGCTGTTGCTGCTGGTGCGGCTGGTGCGGCTGGTGCTGCTGGTGCGGCTGTTGCTGCTGGTGCGGCTGTTGCTGCTGCTGGTGCGGCTGTTGCTGCTGGTGCGGCTGGTGCGGCTGTTGCTGCTGGTGCGGCTGTTGCTGCTGGTGCTGCTGGTGCGGCTGTTGCTGCTGGTGCGGCTGTTGCTGCTGGTGCGGCTGTTGCTGCTGTTGCTGCTGGTGCGGCTGTTGCTGCTGCTGGTGCGGCTGTTGCTGCTGCTGGTGCGGCTGTTGCTGCTGCTGGTGCGGCTGTTGCTGCTGCTGGTGCGGCTGTTTCTGCTGCTGGTGCGGCTGTTGCTGCTGGTGCGGCTGTTGCTGCTGGTGCGGCTGTTGCTGCTGGTGCGGCTGTTGCTGCTGCTGGTGCGGCTGTTGTTGCTGCTGGTGCGGCTGCTGGTGCGGCTGTTGCTGCTGGTGCGGCTGTTGCTGCTGCTGGTGCTGCTGTTGCTGCTGCTGGTGCGGCTGTTGCTGCTGGTGCGGCTGCTGGTGCGGCTGTTGCTGCTGGTGCGGCTGTTGCTGCTGGTGCGGCTGTTGCTGCTGTTGCTGCTGGTGCTGCTGCTGGTGCGGCTGTTGCTGCTGGTGCGGCTGTTGCTGCTGTTGCTGCTGGTGCGGCTGTTGCTGCTGTTGCTGCTGGTGCTGCTGGTGCGGCTGTTGCTGCTGGTGCGGCTGTTGCTGCTGTTGCTGCTGCTGTTGCTGCTGGTGCGGCTGTTGCTGCTGGTGCTGCTGGTGCTGCTGCTGGTGCGGCTGCTGGTGCGGCTGTTGCTGCTGGTGCGGCTGTTGCTGCTGCTGGTGCGGCTGTTGCTGCTGGTGCGGCTGTTGCTGCTGGTGCGGCTGTTGCTGCTGCTGGTGCGGCTGCTGGTGCGGCTGTTGCTGCTGCTGGTGCGGCTGGTGCGGCTGTTGCTGCTGCTGGTGCGGCTGTTGCTGCTGCTGGTGCGGCTGTTGCTGCTGGTGCGGCTGGTGCGGCTGTTGCTGCTGGTGCGGCTGTTGCTGCTGGTGCGGCTGGTGCGGCTGGTGCTGCTGGTGCGGCTGTTGCTGCTGGTGCGGCTGGTGCTGCTGCTGGTGCGGCTGTTGCTGCTGGTGCGGCTGGTGCGGCTGTTGCTGCTGGTGCGGCTGTTGCTGCTGGTGCTGCTGGTGCGGCTGTTGCTGCTGGTGCGGCTGTTGCTGCTGGTGCGGCTGTTGCTGCTGTTGCTGCTGGTGCGGCTGTTGCTGCTGCTGGTGCGGCTGTTGCTGCTGCTGGTGCGGCTGTTGCTGCTGCTGGTGCGGCTGTTGCTGCTGCTGGTGCGGCTGTTTCTGCTGCTGGTGCGGCTGTTGCTGCTGGTGCGGCTGTTGCTGCTGGTGCGGCTGTTGCTGCTGGTGCTGCTGGTGCGGCTGTTGCTGCTGGTGCTGCTGCTGGTGCGGCTGTTGCTGCTGGTGCAGCTGTTGCTGCTGGTGCTGCTGCTGGTGCGGCTGTTGCTGCTGGTGCGGCTGTTGCTGCTGCTGGTGCTGCTGCTGGTGCGGCTGTTGCTGCTGGTGCTGCTGTTGCTGCTGGTGCGGCTGTTGCTGCTGGTGCGGCTGTTGCTGCTGCTGGTGCGGCTGTTGCTGCTGCTGCTGCTGGTGCGGCTGTTGCTGCTGGTGCGGCTGCTGGTGCGGCTGTTGCTGCTGGTGCGGCTGCTGGTGCGGCTGCTGGTGCGGCTGTTGCTGCTGGTGCGGCTGCTGGTGCTGCTGCTGCTGGTGCTGGTGCGGCTGTTGCTGCTGCTGTTGCTGGTGCTGGTGCGGCTGCTGGTGCTGCTGTTGCTGCTGGTGCTGCTGTTGCTGCTGCTGGTGCGGCTGTTGCTGCTGGTGCGGCTGTTGCTGGTGCTGAAGCGGCTGTTGTTGCTGCTGGTGCGGCTGCTGGTGCGGCTGTTGCTGC